CGTTCCCAGGGGTCCGGCAAGCGCAGTGGCTCACCAAGACGAAGCTGGTGGCTGGGTTACCCCCGTCCGTCAGCAGCATCATCGACAACCCGGCTCACCAGCTGGAGGGCCTCGAGGAGGGGGTGAAGCGTGCCATCTCCCACGCACGGCTCTGGAACACGACAGAAGTTGCTCCCAGGAGAGAGTATTATTGGTAAGTCCTCGGTCACTGAGAACATCTTCCCGCTGCGTGGTTACGGCTTTAGCGCAAGCCGGTCGTCGAGCAGGTAACTCAAGAACCAGAGTTTGTAACACTGCAAAGAAAATTCATACACAGATGGACTGTTGAGAGCTTCACTTACTGTGCAACACCATCAAACCCTGTCAGGTTGTCACCTTCTAAAACAAACAACAACAACCAGTTCAGAATATTGACAGTAGCACCAGTGTCATCACGTACTCTACATTAAAGCTTCTTTTAGGCCAAGGTCTGTGTTTCAACTTGAGATCCACTTCTAACTGATGCAGAATGTCAGATTTTTAAATAACTAATGATAAACATTACCACTGCCAACTTGGAACAGGACTGGTGTGTGGGATATTAATCTGAAATCTGTGTTAACTGATGGGAAATATTATGCTATTATACGTTTAACATACAGTAATGTTATAGTGTTCATGTCCCAGAAGCATCTCCCTGCCATTGTGATAACATTTATCTATTTTTTTTCCCTCATTCTAAAGCCCAGTACTGTTTGAAGACTTGATACATTTATGTCGGTCAATGTCTACGAAATATCCTTCTCTGGCTAAAAGAATGTTGGCTAGAAACTACAAGATAGCAGCTACCTGGGAAAGAGGTTAGTTGCTGCTCTGGTGGAAGCATTTAGCTCTTTTAATTAATAAAAGAGGGGTAACAAAGCTGCTAGCCTGAAGGCTGAGGACTTGGAGAAAATTAAACAATTTCTGGACCTGAGCAATTCTTTCAGTTTTAAATAGTGCTGGAAGGATGGGCAGCCTTGGAAGATGCTGGGATATTTGCCCTGAGAAGTTTATGAGGGTGTTGGACAACATCAGCAAGATGGCAGGAGAAGAGAACCAGTGTCTTAGAACCGATTTCTTATTTTTTCATGTCCAAAGTCTGTACTATTGTTTTTCTACATATGTTTAGTTAAGAAATTAACACTACCAATTAACATTGGCATTTTAGAAGAAAGACTTACAGCTGAGCTACTATGTAAGTTTAGTTTGGAGGTGAGGGAGAGAGATTGGGCCTTGTAGAACGAGGACTTGCGGGATTGCTGCTGCCCAAAAGGAGCTTCCTAGTGTTATTTCAGCAATATTTGAATGTAGCCTAATTTCCCTCCCCAGAATCTACTCTCCTTCAGGTCCGTGGCCTGAATGGAATACTTATGAACTCTATGACCCCAATACCACCAGTAGCCTCCAAGGAGGAGATATTGGCCACTGAAGAACATGTTCTGGAGACCTTCTATCCCATCTCTCCTACAATTGATCTTCAGGAAGTGAATGTTTACAAAGAGCTCAATGATACAGGTAAATCTAGCCATTGATGAGAATTTTCTGTCAGACTGTGTTCAGGCTGCTGTAGAGTCCTTGCCCTTCTGCGAGACAGCTGTGGGTAGGGGGTGAATGGGAATGAGGGGACACAGTAGCTGTGCACAGGGTGTGCAGTGCAAGCACTCCAGATTTGTGGCGAGTATATTGTGGCCTAAGCAGGATTGTGGAAAAGAACTGGAATCCCAGCAAATTAACAGTGCCTGAAGAGGTGGGAGAAAACATTGGCTGTGTAGTCTCTTACCGAGCAATTCCTGACATGATTATCTGCTGTTTAGGTTTTAGAGATGGTTATCCGTACTCTCATCCTCACACTCTGTTCTTCTTGGAATCGGCCAACGTTCGTCCTAACAGGTTCAGACCAGAACAACTTCGTGCTAAAATGCTGATGTTTGCTTTTGGCAACGCGCTGGCAAAGGCTAAGGTGCTGTACGGGGTAGGTACCAGAGACTGCTGCTGACTTGCTAGGACTTTGTTCTTTCTCTGGTGCTGCAGCTAGTGGAAAGAGTCATGAAATTCCCTTGCCGTGGCATGTTAAGGTAGTTTTCAAATCTGAGCTTCCTACTCCAGAGATCTAACTAACCTTCAGGTATGTCTGCTGGTCCAGAAAACCATCGCTCAGCAATGAGCGCATTAGAGTGGTAATGGGTAGGAACCAGGGAATAGGTTCAACTGTAAAACTCCAACCCATCCCACAGCTCAGTATGTAAATTGGTACTTCATTACTGGCTGAAGGAGGGATTCTAATTAAAATACAAAATCTACATTCAAAACTTGTTTGACTAGAGTAATTTTCTGGGCAAGGTAACAATACATTTATTAAAATCTTGGCTTTAAACCAAGTAGAAGATGCAGAATCAGCAAGTACTCATACCATTTCTGTGGTAACTGGCTTTTTAAACCTTCTCCTCCCACCTTCCTTCTTTCCTAGAATGATCCCAAGGTTTTGGAGCAGCCAATAGTGGTGCAAAGCGTTGGCACAGATGGCCAGCTCTTCCAATTCATGGTATTCCAGTTAAATACAACAGACCTTATCTCTAGCGATGGCATAAAAAATCTAGTCTGGATTGACTCTGATCAGAATCTGTATGAAAAAGCCCAGTGTGTTCCAGAAGTCAAGAAGAGAGTTGTTACGGTAAGCAAACCAGAGGGAAACTTGGGAAGCTGTCCTGGAAATCCTACCCTTTCACCTCTGCTGGAGGTTCAGGAGCTGGCGTAGGGTTGCAGTGTGGGTTTGAAACCAGTTGAAGGGACCTGACACAGGCGCTGGCCTTGTACTTTACCTAAGCAGGTGTTACTGATGGGGAGCATTTGTAGTGCTGAGGTACCATGTAGTGTGCGAGCCACATGCCGAGCTTCATATGAACTCCTACATCAAGATATCCCCATCTGTAACCTACCAGCTCGTAATATGCTTGTTTAAAATCAGCTTGATGAAGGAAGCGCTTACGTGCAACTGTCAGCTTCGCTGTAGAGTAAACAGAGCACAGAGCTGTCATCCCTGCTTACGCTGAGGGCGTCTCAGTTTGATGGGCAAAGGGTTTGTGCTGTCTGAGGTGGAAGTACCCACAAACCCATCTGGGCAGGGAGAGCACAATTTGGAAACTACCAGGTCTGGAGTCTTACTCGAGTGTATTTAAAGCCGTTGTTTGTCTACATTAGTCACTTCACTGCAAACTGAGCATCCGTGTCTTTTTCTCCGCAGAAGCCCGCTGGAATATATGGCTTTCAGCCAGACACATTCAAGAAGTTTCTGGCACTGTATCTGCACGGAACTGTGTGAAATTCAGCTCAAATGAAAATACTTCACCAACTGTACCTGCTGCTTCTTTTTGCCAGAACCATCACATAATTAAAGAAAGGTGGTGGATTAATTTACCTTCCAAAATAAATTATATGGTTAGTGAAAGTAAAAAAAAAATTAAGCTAAATTGTGCATGAAGAAACTCTTTCATTTTAGGGGCTCACCTCTGGATTTGGGTTAGAGACAGTCATCAAATGCATCCTCCTGCACTCTTCCACCGTTGCCTAGAAAGAACATAAGCCAGTCATTATTCCTCCTTGCAGGTTCCGCTCTCGGTGTGCTTTTGCACAGGGCTAGACTCAAACCTATTTTCTGAGTTTCCTTTGAGTATCTCTGAATGCAGAGTATGTGTAAGAGACTTACAAAGCTTCATGAGGGGAGCCTGAGACATGAGCCTTTTTCATTCTGCCTGGCTTTTACTTTGTTTTACTCCTGACTGCTTTGGGATGTGTCGTGCTGCCCTGCGCTTAGTTCCCAAAGTACTTAATCGGTGAGCTGGCTTTGTTGGATCTATAGAACCACCGTTCTTTTATCCCCCAATCCTGGATGAAGAGACTTGTCCATTTTGGGAAAGCAGTTGTAGAATGTAGTGGGAAACTTTGGTGCCTGGTAGCTGGTATTTGCTGCTGAAAACACAAAGGCAGAATTTCTTCCTGCCGCACAGAGTTAACTGAGCAGGAAGCATGTTCTTTTTGAGGTGGGGGATTAGCGTCGGTTTTGTAAAATGAAGGCTAAATTAGCTCCAGCCAAAGGTAGAATGTTTTGCAGTTCTGCACTGATACCCTCCGGTACATGGGAAGGAGTAGACAGCCTGTGCTGTTTTAAGGTGTGGAAGAGCCTGTTTCCAAGAAATCTCACTTCATTGTCTTGTGTCAGAGACTGGTCTGTGCTTGGTGATCTTCTCTGGCCATTTGGATGATCGCTGCAGTTGTATGTTACCCTCTCAGTCCATCAGACAGCTCTACTCTGCTGCTTACAGAAAACAGTTGTACTAGCCAAATTTGAGATCAACAGTTGCACCCAGTAAATCGGGATGCATGGGCTGTAAGTTCAAATAACAAAATCCCTCAATAGTTAGGAGAAGATGTTTGAAAAAGAAATAATCTAGTAAGCCTTGATCTAAATCACGTTAACTCTGCCTGCTCCAGAGACACCTAATTCAGCTCATCGATTTAAATCTGCTCAGATCTGTAATTTGCACCCAGTCTTTTAGGAATATATTTTAATACACTCGTGCTCTGTGGAGACTTCTGGTAGGTGTTTCTTTCTTGGGCTGTTGGCTCTGCTGTGTCACACAGACCCAGCTGAACAGCTCTAGGCAACAGCCCTCAGACTATTGACATCTCCTCACCCTTCCAGCTTTGGGTCATTACCCATGTTAGGGAGGACACCCTGCAGGGCAGCCAGCCGCTGCCTTAGTTAACATTCCTGAGCAGAGGGGTTTCTCTGAGGAAGCCTGGTGGAAGAGTGGCTGCGGTGGAAGGGGGTGTGGAGAAATGAAACACCTCCCATGCTTCTAGTAGATGTGGCAATCTCTGAAGATGGTCCATGTGGGAATGAGCCAAAGTCCCTTTAGATGCTTTTACCTCTCAACAAAGACATCTCTATTAGGACAGGCAGTAGAAGAGGAGAAATGAAGTGAAGCCAGAGTCCTGCTGTCTGCAAGGCTGAGCAGAGACAAAGCATGAGCACAGGGAGAGATGGATGAAGGCAGAACAAAGGCAGTTTTGACAAATGGCGGAAGCAAGAAGAGAGGGGATAGTCAGCAAGGCAATGAGGCTTCAGCAGGTTACAAGAGGCATCAGAAAGCCATTTGAGATGAGGGGGCCATACACAAACATGCAAGACCATGGCCCTTGTTGCTCAGGGTTGGGTCAGGGCATGCTGATCTCACCTGCAGTGAGGGGTGAAGCAGTACTTGCATGTCACTGGAAGGAGCAGCTGATCCTTGGTCTGAGTGAGCTCCTCTGAAGTCCAGGAGGGGAACTCAAGAGGGGCAGAGCAGGGCTCAGCTTGGCACCTGGGATGGGTGCTCAGGTTGGTCTGTCGTGGTGCAGGCATGAGGTGGGAAGGATGCTCAGGTTGTTCTGTCATGGTACAGGTATGAGGTGGGAAGGATGCTCAGGTTGGTCTGTTGTGGTGCAGGTATGAGGTCTGTGAAACCTGTAGAGCAGCCCCCCTGCCATAGACAGCTGTGCACATGTGTGTGGTGTCCTGCTGGTCTTTGCAAGCTTGCTACACCTGGTTCAGTTCACCCACTTGTTCCTCCAGTGTGGCCTGCTGGAATTGGCCTAGCTGAGGGAGGTGGGACTGAGATCAGGACAATGGGTCACAGAGGCATATCTGGGTTGGCATCAATAATTCATCAGCAGATGAATGGCATTACCTCAGCACGGACCAAGAACTGGGCATTAACTTTTCATGAACGGCAGTCAGGGGAAGCAGAGCTTGCGAGAACAGGGTGGCTGGAGTCCGATATGAAGACCCAGCAGTGCCTGGCTACCCAGAGGGGAGTTCTGCAGCCACTGGCACAGGCTGTGGTCCCAGCCTGCCTTGGGGATGATGCACAGTGTGCTGCCCCAGTTCCACCACTCCACACCACCCTCCCCTGAACCACTCCTGGTGCAAAATCCAACTCCACGGCAGCACTCATCATGCCAGCAAGTACACGCTGTGCTCAGACCGGAGTCCCTGCCTGTTCAGATCCTCCTCCCGCATTTAATTTAATGAAAACTAATGGGGGAGACAATTATCCCTAAGGTTGGGCTCGGGAGACATTTAGAGGAGGGAACTTGGCAGTTTCTCCTGGCAATGTTTAATAAAATTAGCCCGTAACCCAGGAAGAACCAACAGGAAGGGCTTTTCTACACCCCACAATGGGAACACAACAGGCAGCAGTGGTGCCCGTTGCTCCGGGCAGCCGAGCCGTGCCAGGCTGGGCAGCACGGGCAGGGATGGCCCTGGGGAGCTGGGAGGGCAGGAGGTCCTCATCAGCTTCAGCTAATTACCCTTAGGGGTCACATCTCCAAATGATGGACAATGCTGGCACGCTACTTTCTGCAAAGCACAGAGGGATGTGGTTGCCTGGACCAAACCAACATGGGGGCACGGCTGCAGACCCCACACAGGGACATCTGCAATGTCAACCCAGAAGCAAACCTGCACAGGTAGCAAAGGGTGTGAGCACACACTGCTCCTCATCCCTGCCATAAATTACATGCTAATGGGCTCTGCAGGCATGTTGATTTTTCTGGATGGTTCCCAAACCCAGTAGACATCCGACACATGGCCCCCTCACCCCTCTGTTCCATGACCATCTGTGACTGCAAGGCTCTCCTGGAATTGCAGCAGGGACGTGGCTGTGGGTGCTGGTGCCCGGTGGGAGCATCCTCCAGGACTGGCAGAGCTCCAGGATGGCTCACAGCCCCCCAGGTCTTCAGCCCCCCAAGCCCTCAGCCCACGCTTGAATGTTCCCTCGAGGGAGAGAAGCTGCACAATTGCAGCCAGCCTTGTCCTGCCTGAACTAGTCAAAGGCAGAGAACAAGCCTCAGACAGCAGTTCTTGGGAGCTTCTCAAGCACTCAGCACTTGCAACCACCCATCTAAAGACCTAAAAAGCCCCAATCTCTTCCCAAATGCTGCAGCAGCCTGTTGGTGCCCATCAGGGATCCAGATCAGCCTCACCTGGGTTTCTCCATCTTCAGCAGCTGGTTCGGAGCCTGGAGCTGATATATATATATTATATATATAAAATTGTGTGTGTGTGTATATACATATATTTGAAGGTGACACTCATGTCTCTTCCCCTCCCTTGCTCACCTCCCAGCATTGCAGGACCCAGCTCCTCTCCCAAGGCATCTCTGATCTGTAACCTGCTGCGTGGGACATCAGCCTCCATCACCACACCAGCAACCCAATTCCTCTGGCCTCTTAACAGGGAAACCCTGAGGGACAGGGTGCAAAACCAAACCAAACCAAACCAAACCAAACCAAACCAAACCAAACCCCCTTTTTAAGCCCAGGAATCCCCCCTCTGCCTGCAGCCAGGCGGGCTGGGTGCGGAGAGGGTGAGGGTCTGGTGAGCACATCCTCAGCACGGCACAGGCAAGAGTGACCATTTTCCTAGGCTAAAAGTGGAATTTTCAAAATGCTTAAAAAAACCCCCCAAAACCAAGAACAACAACAACAACAAAAAAGCCCCACCAAGTGAGTGTGTTAAACCAAACCTCTCCCAGCCCCCCGGGTCCTGCACCTCAGCCCAATCCCTTCCCCGCCTCACCACGACCCCCAAGCCCACCTCTCAGCTCTGCATCATCCCAAACCTGGGGCTTGGTCCTCGATAAAGGGTAAAAAAAAAAAATCCACCCCACTCTCAGGTTTGGCAGTAAACCACTCTCAGGTCTGGCAGTAAACATCAGGAACAAACTGCAGAGCACCGAAATCAAATGTTTATGTTGATATTTATTACAGCATGGGGGGGGGAGAGAAAGGGGGAGAACCGTTTCATTCAAAAAAACCATCCCATACCAATGAAGACAATAATTTAGCTATTCATTTTAAAATACATTAAAACCGTTCCTTTCATTTCTTCACGTGAGAACAAAAAAAAAAACAAAAAACCAACCCAAGGAAAAAACAAAACAAAACTGAACAAGATGTAAAGTGGAAAAGGAAAAAAAAGTTGACCCCATGGGGAGCCCCCAGGTATATTTGCAATGTAACGAATCTGCGTTCAGTTATTTCTCAGCATTACTTGGAAAATATTAACCTGACTGTAACTATGAGACTGACACCCTCAGATCCCCCATCCCACCCGCCCCTCCCTCCCCAGCGACTTTCTACGTAAAACAAAAAAAAAAAGCCCAAGAAAAAAAAGGCAAAAAATAAAAAAAAAAAAAAAAATCATTATTACACACTAAAAAAAAAAAAAAAGTTTCGTCATCTCATGTCTTGCAGTCAGAGTAATAAAAACAAGCCAAATGTTCCCCAAAAACATTTCAATGAAGGGGTGCGGAAAAAAGACATCCCTTTAATAAAACATTATCAACAAATATCGTACACAAACTACAATGTATAATAATTATTTTTTTTTTTTTTTCC